GATGTGATCCACCTCATAGTAACAATCCTGTCAGATCGTCCATCCTTTGAGTGAGAGTGTAACGTTACAGGTCGGCCGATCTAGTTTCGTGGTTAAAGTTAACCTTTTCGACATGTTTCCGCAATGTTGTCTGGGGGTTTGGCAAAAGGAGAGTGGGACTGTGGGCGGTGCTCGGGCTGGTGACTGTGTAGTTCTGACGTCAACTTTTTACGGAAGTCACAACGGTTTGTGAAAAATCACAGCTACTTTAAGCAGGCTGTGTGAATTTTACTGTGGACTGACTGTTTTGAAACTTATATGGTCGTTACATAGCACCTAGACCTCAGTTATCATGAAAAAAAGCCAGGAAATTTCAGTTTTGACAATATGGGACCTTTAAAATAGAAAACAGTAGATTGTCGTATTTCACAATATTACTATTTTTACTGTGTTTCTGGTCAAATAAATCTATCCTTGGTGAGCATTAGAGACTTATTTCAAAAACATGAAAAATCTTACCTACCTATAACTATTTAGTTTGCAGTCCATTCCGTTTCCTGTAAGCTCCAATGTATTTCTTGTTTGATCCAGTACATACTTTCCATCTCAATTTAACCTGTTTTTTATTTGGCTTTTTCAAAATATGCTTTCTTGACATATAAGCTCTTCAGTCAGAGGCTGATGAGGAGTTCACAGATGGAGAAATGACTACATACGACGGCTCCACCATTTCCCTGTCGATCTCACCTCTCATGAGCCCTGAAAGAGGAGGTATAGATTCTCTCATATAGATAGGAGGTATAGATAATCTCATATAGTCTGTATATTACCACACTGGTCTTTGATAACCAAATTAGTTGCAGTTTTATGGTTTTGGACTAGACGGTCTCATGCTGAAAAGTTTCTTCCTCTTGTTCTCAGACTGTCTTTCAGCTCTGCTCCAGAGCAGCGATGGTGATGACCTGACGCAGGATGATGACCTCACTCTACAGGTCACAGAGCTCAGCATCACTAAAGAGATGCAGGTCTCCATAACAACCACAGTCGCCAACAACATTTCAGTCACCAGCTCTTCTGAAAGTCAGCCAATGTCACCCAAAAAGAAGAAAAAGAAATTTCGTACTCCTTCCTTCCTGCGGATGACGAAAAAGAAAGAGCGAAGAGACAAGGAGAAAGGAAAAGAGAAGGAGAAGGAAAGAGAGAAGGAGCAAGAAGAAAAGGAGATAGAAGAAGAAAAGGAATGCAGGAAGGACTGAGTAAACACTCCTGTTAGACATGTGACTGTGAAGGGGCTTGTGGGATATGTAGTTTTAGGAGGGCCCAGTGTTAAATGCGATGACCAGCAGGGACAGGGATATTAACATCAAAGCAATGACTTGTATGTTAAGTTGTTAAACACGGAATATTTCAACACTTTTTTTCCTACAGCTATATCAACATCTATATAGCCGAAGAATATCGTACTACACTTTTATAAACTGTACATTAATGCACTCTTATACACACAAATATCAGCAGACTAAATGAAAAATTCTAGTCCTTATTCACAGCCCTAATCACTGAATATGAGAAGTATTGGAAATATTTTGATGGCTCTACATTGTTTGTAGATGAATTGATGTTGTGCTGAATTAATCAGGTGACAGTGAATTTTAAGAAAGACTGTGTGAAACTGGATTCCTGCATATTAGGAATATTAAAGTATTAAAATCATTTTTAAATGGGAAACAGCCATTCAGTGTGATATGAAGCTTTGTTGATTTGCTTGGTTTGTAAATGGAGATGTAGTTGATAACAGATTGTTATTCTACTAATAGTTTTGTTGACCGATTATATAAAAGGCTATAACCACTATATGTTGATTATACAATCAAATACTTGGATTTTAATCAAAAACTTGTGCTGTAATTATGTTAATAGTGATGTTTTCCTGTTCTCACCAAGGCGTTTTGTCTTCCATGGTCAAATACTGCTTTTTGTAATTTGCAGTCTCATGGTCATGTGTGTGAATGTAACCTTTCTGAAATAAAAGTGTGCTAAAATTTACAAAGAAAAACATTTATAATACAGACATCAGCTGGAAAACACAATTTGAATAAAGCAAAAAAAAAAAAAAATTGTTATTGAAATGTCAACAAAACATTTATTCCTCTAAAATATGTAAATATACAAAACTGAAAAGCAAATGTAACAACAAATGGACTGCAGCAGAATGCTTATTAGACAGAGGTGGACAGAACAAAACAAAAAAAACAGCTTAATCTGTTCAATGACACCGGTCTTCCCTAACTCGACCATGTATGAGGGGAGGCCAGTGTTTCCATTTATGTTTGTTCAACACATTATAAAAACTATAGAGCAGAGTTCCCACTCTCAGCAGCTCATGCAGACTTGGTCCTGAGAGCATGAGGAAAACCTGTAAAACTAACCAGTAGCTGTGCTTCACTGAGGACTGATGTTTTATTAGTTACAACATCCAGAGACTCGTTCAGTACAGAACAGCTCCAACATCCACAGAACAAACTATTACTGGAAATAGTACAAAACGGGAAATGTGTTACTATATACTTATTTCATGTCCAATCAGATCTGTTTATGATTTCTAAGTGGGTTTCAGTTCGATTCATTTTTATGTTTGGTGATTACAGATGGGGAACAGACAGAACACGAGGGAGATCACTGGGGCATTAGATGCCTGACATTATATTTTGAAGTGTCATTGTACTGGGTCATGGGTTTATCTGCGATACCACACGTGCCAACGCCAACCTTTCCATTCACACTCTCTGGAGATGCAAATATACTCCTCTTCACCTGGAGATGATGATCATACAACATGAGCATGATGGCAGGGTTAAAAAAAAAAAAAAACGTAGCAGGATTAGTCAGCTTTTTTTCTCTGATACGCACCTGTCCTTTTTTATTCTTGGAATAGGCTTTATTGTTAAACTGCTGCCATTTGGATTTCTGATCTTCTCTCTCCTGCTCCAGCTCCTTAATGCGCTGCACCTTTTTCTGGGCCTTTTTCTTCTTATATTCCCTCTGATCTGCCAGCAGCTCTTTCCTAAGAGAAAACACACAATGGGAAAACATAAAAAAAAAAAACTCTTGAAATGCATTTCTGTCACTGGCCTTTTAGAAATAGCTAGTAAATCTATCATTATGCTATATTACCACCAAATCTTGGATTCAACCTTTCTGTCAACTTGTTTTCTTTCAAATAGCACAGGTTTTGTATTTCTTTTGGAATTGATTAATCTCATTGATCTGAGACTATGCACCTCAGTTGAGTGGAAAAAAATTATTTGGGATTAATTTTTAACAATATCACTGAAAAACAGGTCCATAAGCTCAGTTTAATGAGGCCTATATAAAAAAGCAAAAAGAGATACAAAACCTGTGCAAATTGGAAGAAAACAAGCTAATAAATAAGTCACAAATATTGAATCCAATATTTGGTAGTATGGCACACCAAGAAATGTATACACAACTTTTCGTAGGCCAATCATTTTTGACCAGGAACACCACAAGTGTTACAAGGTGGGGGGAAAAAAAGAGAAAATCTCAAAAAAGTATAAAAATTATCTAAATGCTTTGGGAAGTTATTAAAAAAAACAAAAAAAAACAAGCAAAAGTAGCACCGATACTACATACTTAATACTTCATATTGGTATATTTTATACTTTTAATAGTTAATTATAGTTAATACATTTAAAAAGCAATATAGTTTTTGAGATCATTTGTCTTACAACAATTAAAATAAATAAATATTAAAAGTATTTCTTTACTGACATCTCAATTTATTGTAGCAACTGTGCTTATTTACAGCTTTTAAATCATAAAATACCTTATAAAGATGTGTTGAACTGATTAGACTGTATATCAAAACAGACAAACGTCATTTTGACATCTACTTACTTGGATTTGGGCTTTCCCTCCTTCTCTTCTCTACTCCTGCCTTCCTCCACTGGTTTAAGCACATGAAGCGGCATTACCTCTGCGTTGCCGTAGCTAGAGAAGGTGATGGCTGCCGTGCCGTTCTCAGTGTCAATCTCTTCAATTTCCGCTTCATACAACCTGCCAATCACACAGCACTGTAAGCAGGTGAGTACGGATATATATCCCACCCAACACTCAATAAGTAAGATCAATATACCTACTGTGTGTTTGTGTGTGATACTCACTGTCCGTCCTGGCTCCAGGTGGCCATGCAACGGTCTCCGACCCTCCAGCTGCGAGTGGGAGCGACTGCCTCTGAGCTTTTGGTGCTGGCTGCACCCTCCACTGGCTGTGATGTCAACAGGTCTTTTGTCAACTCAATCACCTCCTATAGTGACACATAACAGCAATGATTTGATGAATATACTTCGATAGAAAGGTACTTTTCATCTTGTCAAAGGCTATCAGGCATCAGCCTAAGTGACTAAAACTGGACCACTGAAAAACATGGCAGACCAAGTTTTAAAGGGGTCATATGATGCTTTTTTAAAGATCATTATTTTGTGTATTTGGTGTAACAGAATATGTTGACATGCTTTAATGTTCAAAAAACACATTATTTTTCAAATACTGTACATTATTGTAGGTCCTCTATGCCCCGCCTCTCTCAAACGCTTCGTTTTCTACAAAGTCCCTCCTTCCGACAAGTGCAGTCTGCTCTGGTTGGCCAGCTGACCCAGTGCATTGTGATTGACTGAACACCGCACACGGAGACCGCTGAACACGCCTCTTTAAATGGTTTCGTGGTGTTCCTTATTGTATTTTAAAACACTATTGCAATGTTTTCAACTTACATTATGGCATTTAAAATAATATTATCCCAAACGTAACTGCGGCGCGTGTGGCTGTGCTGCAGTCAGTGAACCGCTTCCATCGGCGCTGCTGCAGCAAAACACACTGTTGCTCACATCAAACATTATCATGCGAGTATTATGACCAGTACTTAATTTGATCCTGCTGGATCCTGTTCCGGAAAATGTCAGATTTTGAATTTTTGCGTTCCGGTAGGCCTATTTGTTTTTAAAAATCCGGCATTTACAGTGCATTAGATCGTGACAGTGCTGTAACCTTTTATATGTTTGGTTGACTGTATTTTATTTTGATAATGAACAGACTGCGATGTAAATTTGAATTGTTAGAATATGTGGGGTGTGTGCGCGTGAGAGGCCGGCGCGATCGAACAGCTGAAACATAAAAAAATCTATTTTTGGAGTAAGATATAATCCCCAAAAGTGTTTCACACACATTAAAAAAAAAAAAAACACATTAACACCAGTAATAATATAAAGACACATTTAAACACATTAAACTTCACAATTTCTCTCTACTGTAGTAATGCCTCACAAAAAGCAGTAGATAATTGTGCCCCAAACCTGGAGGTCCTTCTGCAGTTTAAGCAGATCTTCATTATCTGGATCTGTAGAGAGCGCCGCTTCCACCTGCTGCAGCTGAGCTTTATAATTGCTCAACTGCTTTACCAACTCTTCAGACATCTGAAAAATAAAAAAAAACATTTTTTCAAGTGATAAGTAAAAACAGGGCTCAAAACATCCACCCTTTCTTTACATGTATAAACATCTAATTTATATTGCACCAGCACAAAATTCATAATAACCTAACAGTTCTCTAGAACAAGTTTCCCAAATATTTTTTTATCTGAATCCGACCTAAATTGTGATTTTGAAATACTCCCTTAGACTTAAAGCAATGTTAACGTTTTGAAATATAATAAATGTGACATGTTGGCATGTTTACTTGTGATATATACTTAAAAAAAATACGGTAACACTTTATTTTAAGGTGTCCTTGTTACATGTACTTACTATTATAATAACAATATGCATAATTACATGCAAGTAACCCTAAACCAAACCTAATCTTAACCCTAACCATGTAGTAAGTACATGTAGTTAATTAATATTACTCAGTACTTATGTATAATTGCACTGGAACAAGGACACCTTAAAATAAAGTGCAACCAAAAATACTATAAATATTTCACATTTACAGAACCATTTACTTCATTTAATACATCATTAGCAGTGAATCTCACAAATCTCTGTTTTGACTCAAGTTAAACGCTCACCAGCGACTAATGTTTAAATGGAGCACAAGGCCTCGCGCTCGACAAAAGACATGTTTATACATTTATAAACACAAGATAACCGGATCATCCTTGAACATGCGTCTTACCTTTAAATATTCCTAGTATAATATTTATATGAAAACCAGATGAATGGAGGTGTTTAAATATCACATGAACGACTGTATGTTTAATAAAAAGGATACCGTTCTATTACGTTTGTATCTTTTCTCGTTTCGACCTTTTCCCGGATGTGACGCCACAGTCTCGCGTGATTAAAGTTGTCGCGGTGTTGCCGCTGCCGTGCGCTTGCAGAGAGGAAAGGCAAAAGCTGAATAGAATAGAAATTAAAATAAAATAAATAACACTATAGTCTATATTAAATGATACAATTATACGTGCATTAGAGTTCAGCGCCACGCTTAACATGGTTTTGCAACATTCTGCAAAGTAGGGACTTTAATTAAACTAACAGTTTGTAATTTGACCATATAATACACGTTTTATATTATATGTTATAATCCAACAAAGCAATTACAAGTTGCTGTGAATGTTTGCAAATGTAGGCTCGATTCCAGGCACATGCTTCTTCAAGACACCTACATTAGAAATTACACTGACTTCACAAAAACAAACACACCTGCACTACAGATGTTTTTAATGTGTATATACATACAAATTTACCAACCTCATCATCAACACTAAACTTTAAAAAAAATATTTTTCCTTTTCCTTCCCATTGTTATTATTTTATCAGCCTTTTTAAAATTACTATACCAATAAAGCCACTTGAATCTTGAGAGGGAGAAACAGTACAACAACATCAGTATATTTTATTGCATTTTTATGTAATGTAACGTAGGCTATCCAAAAACACACATTCTAGTGCAGCGTGTTCGCGCCAGCGTTCTACTGACCTACGTAGGTTGAGATGATTGGTCTACGGACTGACCAATAAGAGCTCAGTGTCTGTCTGTAAACAAAAGATTTCGTCAGTGTTTTCCACGAGCGCGATACTGTCGTGTATGTTTCTCAGGTCGAGCAACGTTTAGTTTTTTGTCTTTTGTTCACAAAAAAACAAATAAATAAATAAAAAGATAAAATAGGACACTACATTTCAAAACGTGATTGAAATTCCAAGGAACAGCGATGTCAACGCAAAAACTTATAACCCAGGAAGAAAGTCTGCACGGTGAGTTAGTTATACAATCTGACTTGCTCGAATAAATAACAGACCTAAGTTACATCGACAACTAACGAACACAATAAGAGCATTAATAGTAACAATAAATTATTTATTCACATTCCTAGGTTTTATACCAATGTACACCCTGTTTCCTTTTTATAAACCTATACAAAGCAGAACATTGTGTTCAAATCCGGTAGTACTGCCAAGTCAGCAACTTGTTTGCTAAAACAAACATTAGCTCTATTTTTGTTGGTACAAATGTTTGTTGAAGGACAAGACGCGTTTACAATAACCTTTTTTTTTTTTTAACGGATTATATTGGAATTTATGGACTAACACCCAGATACGTACTAATGTTATACTTATAATATAATACTTATTTGGAGACTTTTTGCTTCAGTTTCTGTTACACCAAGTGTAGTAAAATATATGTGGTTGTTGTAAAGCTCTATCTAAAAGGCCTAATCAAACATGCACCGCTTCTAAAAGTGGAAACTGCTTTTAATGATCATTTCTAAATGCTCTGATGTACCTTTCTCCACCAGACTCATGGGTAGAGCTCCACTTTGATTCATGTAGTGAACATAGTGAGGACGCACCAGCCCTTTCTGATATCACAGACCTGGAAAAAATGCTTCTGGAAGCACAACGGGAATCCAGCAGTAGTTCACGGACAAGTTCTCACTGTAGCAGGTGTGTACAAATCGCTTTAAGTGATCTGCATGTACTATGTGACTTTACAAGGGAGTGAATGATCATTCTAATCACATTGGCTGTTGTGATTTATTTCCTCCTAGTCCCCGACGTGTCCAGACACCTCCACTCATCAGTGCAGCCTCCTTCAACACACACATCATTGCACAGGTAAAATATTTTATTAAAATATAAATACCTTTCCACAACACTCACAGGCAGGAACAATGGTTTTAAGTAGTACAAATATTGCATTAAAATTTACTCACCCTCAGGCCATCCAAGATGTAGATGAGTTTTTTCTTCTTCGGAACACATTTAGAGAAATTTAGCATTACATCACTTGTTCACAAGTAATCCACACAACTCCAATCCATCATTTAACATCTTGTAAACCAAAAAGCTGTGCGTTTGTAAGAAATGTTGCTTTCGACTTAAATACAAGTCCTCTATCAATAATACTGCTTTCTCCAGTGAAACACAGATACAAGTGTGGCCGGAAGGGTCGTCAGAGGCTCTTCAAGACTGTTTTAACATTGAACATCATCTTGTCTGAATCAGGAGAAGCATATGTACAATTCAAGTACTGTTTACAAGTGAAAACAGTCCAAAACAAATACGTCTATGGATTTGATGTGAGAGGACAACAGAGAATGGATGTTTTCACTGGAGGAAGTATTATAATGGATTATGGACTATTGGATATGGATATTTTGGCCAGAAGTGATAGTTTAAAGTTAAAATGCCTTAATGATGGATTTGTTTCTTACAAACTCACAGCTTTTCACTAAACACGGTAATTGATGAATTGGAGTCGTGTGGATTGTTTGTGCATTAATGTGATGTTTTTATCAGCTGTTTAAACTCTCATTCTGACGGCACCCATTCACTGCAGAGGATCCATTGGTGAGCAAGTCGTGTAATGCTAAATTTCTCCAAATCTCAACAAACTCATCTACATCTTCGATTACTAAAAGATCAGATTTTATTTTGAAGCTTTGCTCTTTCTGTTCCAGGGGGAAGTTGTAGCAGAAAGCAAACAGGAAGCTGAGGCTGTCGCAAGGATCTGTGACTGGTCCAGCCGGCCAGAGAATGTTCCACCCACCGCATTTATTATTAAACGGCCAAAACGGAACAGAATGTGCAGCAAAAACACAGAAAAAAATGACAAGGAAATTAACACAAACTTGCTGAAGTTACTGTTACCCTCCCTAGTTTTGACACACATTCTCATGCTTGGGTTGGGGTGAGACACTTTTTCACTTATAAATTCTGACTTTGTTTGCCACACTTTTGTTCACAGTTTGACTATTTTTAATCTTTCTCTCTCTGCAGGATCTGTATTGGACGACGCCTTTCCACTCAGTGCTCTGTTATCTGAGTCATAGCGTGTGTGTGTGCTGTGTGTCAGTGTCTCTAGAAAGACCCTGACAGCCTGGAACCCTTTAGTTTTCCTCCAGGAGAAATGCAGGACTATGTAAGAGGACACTGTGAAAATATGATAGATTTCATCTTTTTTTTGCTTGGAATTAAAAGTGTTTGTTACATTAAAGACATGAGCATGAAGATTATTTTACTGACCAGGTCACATTGTAGTCCTTCAGCTGACCTGCTTTTTAAATAACATTTTAAATCATTATTTTTGAAAAATACAAATGTATGTTTGACAGAATATTCAGAGGCATATAAATACTTATTCTGACATTTACTCTGTGACATGCTGTGGAAAACTAATAAACTGTGCTGCCAAAATAGTCATCTTCCAATTAATTTTTGTTGAAAAAAGAAGTACTTTCGCATTTTCTTGCATCCATCCAACTAAGTACATAAAAGCAAATATTTAAATAGAAAATTAACCATGTTTAACTTGCTACCAAGTCTCACATTTTGTACTGGCATTTCAGGGACAGCAGGTGGCGGTGTAATCCGATTTTCTGTTTGGTTTTTGGTTGGAGTTGACGCTTATAACTTTTATTTAAAACGTACCAAACAGAATTAGTGTTATAGACATTTTAAGGCAATATGATTAATGGCAGCATCGATTTAATTATAGGCTGCCAGTATTTTCTTTCTTCACAGAATGAACTACCCCAGACAATGGATGACTGTGGAGACCTACATATTCAGCATAGCAATGCTATCTAAAATAAACTAAACTCTGCTTGAATTATACAATTCTGCTTAATGATAAACGAACACGGCTATGGCGGGTATTAATGATCAAATTACATGTACTACAGAGTGGGTAATTGAAACAGCATGGATGGATTTGGCATTGACCCTTTAAAGCTAGCTACAGCAACATTTGATTAAATTATTTTTATAGAAATTCATTTGGAATATTGTGTGGAACTGCGTCTATTTCCATGTATTGCTTTTCTTATTTTTCTGCTGTCCTTTTCACGTATGTGTTTATTTTGTTTAACCCTAATGCACAGCCTAGGTGATCAGAATATGGATGTATAACGTTAACCGCTATACGTATGCTAGTGGGTTAGTTTGGGAAGGAGAAAAAAAAGAGAAATATATTAAATTGAGGAACTGATGATTTGACATTTTGAACAGCAGGAGGACTCATTAATGCCTTTCTAATGCGGAACATTTTCTAAGAAACCTGCAGGCGTTTGTGCACTTATTTCACACATACAAAAATTATTCGCTGTTCAGCATTAAAAAAAATGCTTAACCTCGTGATGTTCGAATGTGTTTTTGCATTAAAGTTTCAAAACGACACAAGAAAATTCTAAAGATGTATTTGTAATATTACTTGACAAATTGTGAAAATATCTGCTGTTCATTATCTTATTAAAATATTTATTATTAAATATTTAGTATATAATAAAAAATGTAACACGAGTGATATATAGACACCTCAGAAAAGTTCATTGGAAAACGAACCATTTTTATATATGATCAATAACTTAATGTGATAAACAAGCGGTTGATAAATTGTATCAAAGGGTTATTTGAAAATATTTAGTAAGACATTTTTTTTTTAATAAATATGTTCCGCGCCAGTTTCAAAGATAAAATGGCATAACAAGAAAAATAAAAAATCTTCCATGACCATCAGCAGCAGGTGCTTAGTGAAGTATGAAAGGACTCGCTCTTATCCCGCGTTATCTTAGGGATGCTTCGCGCCGTTTCCAACTTTCAAAGTTCTTACAGAGTGACTCTGACTGTTTTTACGTCCCTGTGCGTCACAGCCACGCCCACACAACATATTATTACACCTAACCGACTCCTATTCTCATGCTGTTTATTAGACTGCAGTCCTGGGGGAGAAGGGACTCTGTTGTCAGCTGTTCTCTCGCATCCCTGTGGACTGACAGGCATCGCGGGAGTCATGAAGACTGCTCTGGGGTCAGCTCGACCCTGGCTCCACTCAGCTGGACTGACAGAGGTCAACCTTTCTGCTCAGAGGTAAACAGATGCATCTCATCATATCATATCCTGCCCATTTCTTATTCCTTATTCCTTGTGTGTATTTTATGTTCGGATAAAGCAAAGGTTAGGAACAAGTTTTGTAGTATGGTTAAGTTTAAGGTTGTGTTAAAGGGTAAAAACTGCAATTATAGATAACTACAGAAATTACTTACTGATGTAATTACATGCAGGTATTTTTTAAATATAAGTACAATGTAAAAACATGTATGTAGGCCTACATAAGTGCGTTGTATCAAATTATTAATTTCAATGTTAATACATAGTAGTTAAATATATATATATATATATATATATATATATATATATGTGTATATAATGTATTCTGTATTATATATAATTAGTTTTAATGACAGCAAGCTGACATTTGTGCAAAATATTGTATTTTAAGCTGCAAATAACTAGTTTCGCTGCTTCTTACAGAGGTATTGGTCTTGCCCGGGCGCACCTTGAGAAACAGCCGCCCGCCAACCTGCGCAAGTCAAACTTCTTTCACTTTGTGTTGGCTTTATATGACAGTCAGGGTGAATCTGTGGAGATAGAGCACACTGCGTTTGTGGACTTTGTTGAAAAGGAGAAGGTGAAGAGAAACGTGGAATCTATGAAATACTGGATTTAGAAAATTAAAAATGAGAAATTCCTAATTAGAAGTTATGATGCCATGTAAGACAAAGCATATATTTGTTTATTCATCCGTTTGATTTAGGAGCCAGTAAGTTTAAAGACAAATAATGGAATCCGTTACAAACTCCAGTTACTGTACAACAATGGTGAGTACTGTATAAAGTGTGGACTGCTTTAGAATAGTCTACTTTAAGAAATACACTTCCTTTGAAAATACAACTTTCATTTGTATGATGTTCAGTATTGTTGCTGTGTTATTAATTTAATTGACGTCTTTTAGGTGTCAGAACTGAGCAAGATCTATACATCCGTTTGATAGACTCTGTGACCAAGCAGGTAAAACAATTTATGCACTGTAATATTACTTGCAAGAATATGTTATGTCTTAGAACTAAAAGACCTCTTCAGTCAAGACTAAATGTTTCAAAAAATTTCATAATTCTGAAGTGATCATGTAAATTTATATATAATATATAATTTACCAATGTTATATGTGGGTGTGTTGTCTACAGAGCTCCAATGATATTTTCACTGAAATACACGTAAATATTTACATGATATATTTATATATTTTATTTGCATAACATTAACCTGGTGTTGCTTTTATTCTTTCAGGCAATTGTGTTTGAAGGTCAAGATAAAAACCCTGAAATGTGTCGTGTTCTTCTCACTCATGAGATAATGTGCAGGTAACTAGTGTCAAACAACATTAAAGCGCACAATTAACTCGTGCAATCTCATGCAAACAAACACACAGTCATAAAATAGTCTTACAAATTAGTGTTTATTTGCTGTAATTATAATATGCAGGTTATTTTTTTTTTTACAGTTGATGCAGTGATAATTGTGTTAATTTATAAATGTGAATTTTCAGCCGATGTTGTGATAAGAAAAGTTGTGGAAACAGGAACGAAACACCATCAGACCCCATCATTATTGACCGGTAGGACAATCAGCTGCATTCTGTAAGATTATAAATGAATAAAGAAATATATAATATGTGTAAGTACAATAAAGGAAAGAAAATGTTTATTGTTATTACTTATAAAGTTATTATTTAAAGAAACTGGGATTTGTCATCTTTAAGGATAAAAAGCAGACAGACAGATTGTACTCTTTCATCTCTCCAATTCTCAGTTTCTAATATTTTTTATCTTCTTACATCATTTTATCAGTGACAGTTTTTCTCTATTCCTTGATCCACAAATACCTTCACATGTTTGCATGTTTTCTTTTCATTACATACCTAGGTTCTTCCTGAAATTTTTTCTCAAATGTAATCAAAATTGCCTGAAGAATGCAGGGAACCCACGAGACACACGTCGTTTCCAGGTACACACACAAGTTCATATTGTATATTCATATCACTGATGTCTATAAATGTGTCTCATAATAGATCTGTTTAATCAACATGAAATATTTAATGAAAAAGGCTGTCCCTTATGGTACTGAACTGCACTGCAGAAGTACGATAGTAAAAACTATAAATGTAGCTAACACTATTACTTTACTTCATTCAATTTATGTACTGTTTTTTTACAATCCTTGTGCCACATCAAAATGTCCATTTGTGCCCAACATTTCCTGCACTAGACTACTAGTGAAATGTCCTGTGCATTGCAGGTGCTGGTCTCTACCACAGCCTCTGTTAAGGGCCACGTTCTAGCCATTTCAGATAACATATTTGTCCATAACAATTCAAAACATGGCAGAAGACCAAGAAGGTTTGAGCTGACTGAAGGTACAGTAATTATAAACATTGTTCTAATAATTCTATGATTACTAATGATTCGGTGCAAAATCAAACACACACGACTAACTATGCAATTCAGATCAGGGTGGTTACTGACTGTTCATATGATAATGTGTAGGTAAATACACAGTAGAAAAAGAGTATACAGAGTACATAAAAGAGTATTTTGTTTGTTTAGGATTTTTTTAGTATAAATTTGCTGTTGTTTATGTAGGTCTATCTCTAAAGTGCAATACCCTTATTCAGCATATTGAGCTAATATTTGTGTGTTAATTTAGCTGAGGTCCCCTGCATTAAGGCTATCAGTCCGAGTGAAGGTTGGACGTCAGGTGGAGCCTCAGTGATTATTATTGGAGATCAGTTCTTTGATGGTCTTCAGGTGGTTTTCGGAACAGTGATGGTCTGGAGTGAGGTGTGTTACAGTCTCAATCTCTGTTGTCAAACAAAGAATTGCTATAAATACATTTTTGTTTCATTTTTAGTTTCCTTGTTCAATTTGTTCATTTTTTGTACATCATTCACTACAGATCTCCCACAGATCTTTGCCAATTTTGGAAGGTGTGAAATACAGTGTTTCCAATAAACTTGCCTTCAGTAATTTTCAAATCTTGATGTAAATGAAAGGAGCCTCCACAGAGAGAGATATGCAGAATCTGGATTTGTACTTCCCATGAGGGTGATGACTTTTTTGGTTTTGTTATAGGTCATCACACCACATGCGATTCGTGTGCAGACTCCACCTCGTCACATCCCTGGTGTTGTAGAAGTTACACTGTCCTACAAATCCAAACAGTTCTGCAGGGGACCTCCAGGACGCTTCATTTACACTGGTAGGAATTATAGAGTTTGGAATATTCTTGCAATTTACTGTAACCATAGTTATTAGATTTTTTTCCTGTTATATAATGCCTTTTTGGAAGCTCAGACAATCTCAATTGTTTTGTTGCTAGCTGATACTGGCTGAAAGTGTTTATCTGTTTAAGCTTTAAATGAGCCAACCATTGACTACGGGTTCCAGCGTCTGCAGAAGGTCATTCCTTATCATCCAGGCGATATAGAAAGACTACCAAAAGTGAGCCAGAAATGCTGAGTTAATTTCTTCACAAATTCCATTTTAATTGTTCTAGATTGTGTTTTAAATGTTTAATTCAATTTTAAGTCATGAAATAGCATGTCTATAAATTTAACTCTCCAAAAGGGGATTTTATTTGACACTTGGAAATACAATTAAAAATTATTTTTGATTGACAGGAGGTCTTACTGAAGAGAGCAGCTGATCTCTTAGACATGTTTTATGGAATGCCTCACAACAACCAGGTCAACATAACATTTAGATTTTTTACTCGGGCTTGCTATCCCAATATACAGTACCGTTTGCTGCTGAAATCCAGAGTGGGAAGTGATGTCATTTCTGTGCTTTTGTGTCTGGCAATAGGAGATGATTCTGAAGCATACATCCGATATAGCAGAGGTACTCCACGCCATCCCACAAAACCCATCCCACACAAATTCACACAGAATGATGGGTGTTAACTACTTTGATGCACAGTTACCCGTGAACACAGAAGTTTCACAGGATGTAGAACGAGGTATGCAGTATGTATACATGTGAGTATGGTACATATGTTCCACAACAGTGTGTTAATAAATGAATGTCTCTCAATGTCTGTTTCAGCGGGTTTCAGTCGGAGTTCAAACAGTGACTTCATTGCAGGCAGTACATCCCAACAGTCTGAATTCAATAATACCAACACGTGCATGAATGGACACACACATTCGCATGCACACTCCTCTATGCAAAGGCACACGCACTCAAACACACACCCGTCCATGGCTGGGCACACACAAACACATGCACGCCCTTCTGTGTCAAACTTCTCTGTGGCTGCCACACAGCCATTCTTAGAGAGTCCCACAGCAGACACACAACACTACATCGGTAAGAACACATCTTTCTCTCTGTCTGTAACTGTCAAACTTTTTAACCATTTTTTTTTTCAGAGTCAGCATTCAAAGTTGGTTAACATTGAATTATGAATTTATCTGAATTTAAGTTCAATTTAATTCTACTTCATTGCATTCAAATATGCTTCACAACCCAGAATGTAATTAGCATTTATAATTAACCCAATTATACTTACACAAAATACATTTTTAAAATGATTTTCAGATTATTTTTGAACATAATTATAAATCAAGATATTCCAACTGAATTATGGTCAAATTGCGTAATGATGAGAATGAATTATTTACACTCATCCTGAAGATGTTCATTTAGACCTTCCTTGTCTCCTTTTCTTTCATGCATTTCTGTAGTGAAGCAAAAAAGTGGAGCATTTGCTCCAGTTCTGAAGCTGCAGTCCTCAAAAGCACAAGCTTCAAGTCTTCCCATCTGCACGGTAATGGCACATGACATGCTTGTTTTTACACACAAACTCCTCTCTCCTGCTCTTTTTGTCTACCCAATACTACCTTAGGGAGTGTGACAGTACATACACACATGAATAGTTGTGGAGTGTGCACATTTGACAGACTCATGTCTATTCTCTGTGTCTTTTACAGCCTGGAATGGACCAGTGACACCAGTCACACTCTCACATGGACACATGGACAAAACTCCATTCAGAAGTTGTGATCTTTGTAGTCAGGGAACAAGGTTCTCTCAGTGCAGGCAATACAAAAGCAAATAATATGTGAAATCATGTTGGTTGGTGATAAAGCAACATTTTTTTTGGTTAAATGTCTACAATATGCACCTCTCTATTATTATTGTATTTGTGGTCTGTGCCCAAGCCATTAAATATACATATTACCTATGTATGGTAACTTTGTGTTTGTGTGTCATCTTGCTGAGTTCTGATTGGCTGCTTAATCCCTCAGTTGTCCTGAGCACTAGAAATGTTTACATTTAAACTATCATTCAAAAGTTTGGGGGTCAGTAAGATTTCCTCTTATGCTCACCAAGGTTGCATTTATTTGATATAATATTGTGAAATATTATTACTATTTAAAATAACTTCTATTTTAATATGTTTTCAAATGTAATTTATTCCTGTGATGGCAAAGCAGAATTTTCCACAGCCATTATTTCAGTCGTCAGTGACATTTTCCTACAGTTAAACCAAGCTTTTCCAGGAACATTTATCTGCTAAAACTTACTATTATTTAAGGAAAAGAAAAATGATCAAAACATAGGGCATGGATTGATACTAAACTAAGGATTCATTTCAGCCCAAGTTTAACATGGCCTGTGTCTCTACAAGTCTATTCTTCATGTCTCATTAAATCCTCATATAGGTTGAGAATTGTTCTTATGGCAGGGGAGGTTATATAAGATCCTTCACTGAATTCTCAAATTAGCTCTCCTTCAAACAATCAAGTTTTACTATAAGGAGGAGGCATCAAAAATAAAACCAAACGCTGAACATGGAGTTTGTCTCATAAATCTGAGCGCATGAGTGAGTCCTCCCTGTGTGTGAGAGAGGAGGCTGTGCACATTCACCTGAACCCCTTCACAACAGTACCAATGTGATTTATCTTTTTGTTCACGTTTGTCTTTATGAAATGGTGTGCAAAATGAGAGTACAAAATATAGTTATTCTCCTTAATAATAAGAGTTAATGTATACATTAAGTATATTATCATGTTTCTGTTATCAAGATTTGCTAGACAAACATGGACATTAATAGTTTTATTGTGTGCTACTCCATAATATGTCTAACCTAACGCAAATTCAGTTATTCTCTTGAGCACAAATACCAAAGATTTCTGATGAAATAGTCTGAGAATCGCCTGAGAAAGTTCTTCTGGATGTCATAGACAGTCATGATCTCTTTAATGGGAGGATGAAGGAGGGGTGTCCCTGGGGAGATCTCCACAGTCAGTGGTGTGATACTGCTATATATTGTATTTGATCACATGTGACATGTGCTGCTTCCACTGCCTCAGGCTGTGCTGATCTCTCACTAAGCCTTCACATACGGTTTCATGCCACCTTACAAAAGAGCAATTTGTGCCTGACAGAATAAAATTCTGATCATGCTCAGTGAATGCAAACCCTCCCTATAATTTCAAATCATTCAATGGAGTGTGGGAGCTGCTTTTATAACTGTATAGGTTTGTATCCATTTCATGTGACACTTTCCACACAAAAGTCTGAAACTCTTTCATTTTCTTTTTCAGTAAATGATCAGAAAAAAATAGCTGTTTTCTATTCTTGTTTTTAAATAATATTTTTTATTGACCTTATCTGTTTAGTTTTTGTTACTAAAAACCTGACTAATGTGTAATTTTGTACAATAAATATAAAAAACTATTTAAAATTAAATATTTTTTTAATGGAAATACATATAACGCTTGAGTAACATGGATGTATATTATTTAGCCTGCTGTAAATTAAGTTGTCTTAGCAGGGATCAAATGTTATCTAGTTGTTGAAAAACGTATATTTCCAATTTGTGTAATTTATTTCATTTCAATTAACTTTTTTTATTCCAAGTAACAGCGTTTTAGTTTATGTTAATAACCCTGATGTATATCTAAAGTGACTTACAAATGAGTAATACAACAAGCGATTCATATTACTCATATAATAACATGCTACAGTTTCAAACCACAGTCCACGGTTCCAGCTTTTAGAATGTAACATAAATGTTAGAACAGGAATAGATATTTCATAGGAAGTATATGTTAATATATTTTTTTCTTACAATAACTTTGGTAGCAGGTTAAATGGTTAAGCTTAGTGAATGCAGCCAACACTCCAATTTAACTACCTTCATACTATATTAATCTCTATAATGTTTTTTAAAAATGTGACAGGATCGTATGGGTGTATCGAGGCTCAGATTGCTTCTAAAAATCCAATAAAGTTTAAATTATAAAAACTGAAAATGTCTTTCTTTGTGTCTGTCTGTCTTTGTTTGTCTTTTTATTGCATGGTTTGCTGCAGAAACAGTTTAACATTTTCATGGTGTAATAGCATTTAGACCGAACTGCATAAAACTTCACAGGAAGCGATGTTGGTTGATGCTCTTTTGAGACGTCATATTCAAACATAACATAACATATTCTAACAAACGAGTTAAAATGTTAAATCCATTTAAGGTATAAGATTTAACATTTCCATTTAACATTTTATTACCTCTACACTTGAACAAGGGACATGATCCAGGGGGAGTATCCATGTAATTAGTCTACTGTAAATCAGTTGTCAGTGTAAGACGTGATCAAACTGCATTAATGGTTCAGAATGATAATAAACTATGGTTAAAGAGTAAAGATTCTCTATTGATTGACAGAATTATGGTGATTTACAATATGATCCCTTTGCAGCATTAGCCCCATGCTGCTGTTTTAATCTTCAAAGCATGTAATGTGTCAGAATCATTTGTACAAATGGGTTATGGGTTACTTAAAGAAATGGTTCTGATTTAGGGAGCAGGTTTTTGCTAACCACTAACCCTCACCTCTGAGACCCTATTCGTTCTAAGAAGATTTTCAGTTTATATCTGTCACAGGTGAATGCATCATGCTGTGTAGGTGCTGCATAAAACTTCATGTTCAGAGGTGATAATGTCTAAGCACTTAAATATGATTAATGTGTCACACCTTTGTGCAGTTCACACCATGCAATCCCAGATATCACCTCAGAGATTCACCTTTGACACTCACATTTCACTTATACTAACAGCTCTCTGAATTTCCTTCATTTTGTGGACTATGTGGAGCTACTGAGCAAAGTCATCAGTATCAGAAGTGTAAAGCTGTCCCATTTAAAATCCAAATATAGAAGGCCTGTTGGAGAAGGTACACGTTCAGGTGCTAATAGCTCAGCTATTTGACCACCTGTCAGTCCTAATAATTTGTATTATTGACACACTTTTATTGAACCTTACAGATGTAATCGGTTTACTGACAGTTAAACTCGATGCTCAGTTAAGCAGAACACAATGCCTACTGATTTACCGAAATAATTGTCAAGTTTTTGGCATTACACTTTAATTCAGTTTTCATAGTTTCATAGTCAACGCAGTTTTATTCATATTATTCAGTGCTTTGAAAACACTGAAATATCATATTAACAAATGCGATAAGATAACAGGTAGGCTAATCTTCGTAAACACTCATATATTTATTGGCAACAAATGTAATCGGCTTCAGTCTTAAATATTAACATACATTACAGTCTAATGAGTGCATAAATTATATATATATATATATATATATATATATAAAGTTTCAACTTTTTCTGAAATCACTGTAGTCATATCCAGATACAATAGCGCCACCACGTGGAAGAAAAGTTAGGATGTGTACTTGTGTTTTGTCTGTATTTTGGGAAAAAGTCATTTGGTTATTTGATCAATTACTGCAACATTTGCTTCAGCTCTGAGCACATTTAATATTTATTTTCAACAAACTAGGCACACTACTTATTTACAGTATATATTACCTCCAATGCAGTATATTTATTAAATCATATGAATAGGATATTTCGGCAGGACTCAATAAAACATGTTGTTCCCATGGAATAAAGCGGAATTTTATTCTCCCTGTTGAAAAAAACAGCATATGCTGGTTAGGTATGTTTTGACGCTGGGATTCTGGTTTAAGCTGGTCCTTTGCTGGTTTATGCTGGTACTTTTGCTGGTTTATGCTGGTCATGTGCCGGCAAAGGACCAGCATAAACCAGCAAAAGGACCAGCATAAACCAGCAAAGGACCAGCTTAAACCAGCAAAGGACCAGTTTAAACCAGCAAAGGACCAGCATAAACCAGCAAAGGACCAGCTTAAACCAGCAAAGGACCAGTTTAAACCAGCAAAGGACCAGCATAAACCAGCAAAGGACCAGCTTAAACCAGCA